CTCTCTCTCTCTCTCTCTCTCTCTCTCCCTCCCTCTCTCTCTCCCACTCTATATGTGGGCACACTCATTTTTCTGCGCCTACTTTACTTAGGTACTTATGCCGATGTCTCATTGGAGTCGAGGACCTTAGTCTCGATGTCCTCGTCACGAAACACTATGAATTTTGTTAAACGATGTAAATTATGGAGTTTAAATCATTTTTGTTGTGCTAAGGAAGTTAGGTTTCATGTTTCATTGATATTGTTCTATTTTTTGCTCTGTTTAGTTACAGTTTCTGGAATCCTAAATTTGATTAGAAGGTGTAAGGGAAAAAAGCAGACTTCAGTTTTTTTTTTGATTAAATGCTTCGGTTCATCCTCTAATCAGAATGAGTTCTTTGTATAAGTAACAAACGACAATTCGTTTAGTAAGTATTTTATTATACTCGTTATGTACAGGTTCTGTAGCAGAATTAGTATGGTTTTGATTTATTTTTCGGTTAATATTGTTATGTAGAGGAGGAGGAAGAAGAAGAGGATGAGGAGAGTGAGGAAGTGGAAGAGGAGGAAGAGGATGATGTTGAGGACGAAGATGGAGGCGACATAGCAGCTCGCATCAAAACTACTTGTCTCTCACTGATGAATGCGGCAACTGATTCTCTTTCTCGGGAGTTAACCAAACTGCGTACTGGAAGAGCATCGTCAGGTGCATTAATTTTCTATGAGCGTTCTTTTGTTTGAGTCAAATGATTTGTATTTGACATGATGATAAAATTTCAGGGATGATCGATCACATTGTGGTTGAACAGTATGGCGTGAAGACGCCCATTAGCAGGATGGCAGTTGTCTCTGTATTGGACCCGAAAACACTGGCAGTCACTCCCTATGATCCCAATGTAATGTAATGATGCTTTGTCGTAGAGTAATTACCTTTACTGAATTATTCTGGTTAATTCGTTTGAATACCCGTCCAGCTATTGATCTTAATTACAAATACCCATTGTTATACGCATGTAAACACATTTTTGCTGCTTTACTACTTGCACAGCCAGTAGAGGTACTATTAAGTCTATAAGTCTATAGATTTCAAGGGGTGTTTGCAATTGGGTAAAACATTCCATGAGTGGGTATATGTGGTTTTGAAAGATAATTAGGCTCTCTTCTTTTTCTTTTCTTTGTGGTTAAAACCGCTGTATCTGTGTACTATTGTTTTTTGGAAGCAAAAGCAATTATAGTCTCCTTAATTTTCTGCAAACACTTGAAAATATAAATAAAACTGAAATTTCTAGAAATGTGTTTTTGGCCTGAGAATCCTAATGTTAACAACAGTATTTGGGTAAATCAGCATTTAGGTTATTTTACTTTTTTCTTCTTCTTTATTTAGATTATTTTAGGTTATTTTAGCTGTGGATGCGTGGTTTGAAGAAAAGTGATTTGACTTGTGTAGGCTATGAAGGAATTGGAGAAGGCTATTATCTCATCTCCACTGGGTTTAAACCCCAAAACCGATAACCAACGATTGATTATACCCATACCTCCGTAAGATTTCTTTTCTTTTGATATGGAACACTTCCTGTTCTTCCGGGACATAGATCGTTTAATCTTATTAATGGCTAAAGATAAAAATGATCTAATTTTTGTTTCGATTAATCAACACGGTGGTTTACTCCACAGCATCAGAATATGGAAATGTTTCTTTGATCAAATTATTGACTGACTAATGTGTTTTGGTGTTTATGATGGACAGATTAACCAAAGAGCACATGCAAGTAAGTCGTTATATCTTTGATCTAATTAAATTATTTTGTTCGTCAACAAGTAGAAGCATTTATTTATTATTAAATTAAGTAAATTGCGGATGTTATTAAATTGTTTTCTGGCAGGCTGTATGCAAGGTGGTTGCTAAATCATCCGAAGATGTGAAGCAGAGCATAAGAAGAGCTCGCCAAAAGGTAATCATGGAACTCGTCATATGTCAAGTTTTACAACTTCAAAAACATTGAGAAAGCTTCAATCCTCTTAAGAGTTGTTTATTTGAAGACTTATTACTTGCCAGTGTCCGCCTTTAGTAGCTTAGTTGCTTGTTCTTTATGATTTCAAATTGAAAGTAGAATTATGAAACTTGCTTAAATGCATCGAAAAATTTTGGTTGAGTTATCATCTTACATTTTTCTATTACAATATAGATAAATTAGAATTATTCTTTTATATTATTTCTCGCAAGAATTGCCACTTTTCAATGTGAATTTAATAAGTTGGACAAAACATTTGAAAATTTCTGGCATGGTTAAAATCACATAAGCTATGGACTTTGCGTTTGCAGGCATTAGATAGCATAAAGAAGGCAGCACCACCCAAGAAGAAGGAAAAAGAAAAAGATAAAGATAAAAAGGATAAGAAGGAAAAGGCCGGTCCAACTATTTTTGAGGACGATGCTAAAAGACTCGAGAAAGAAGTAAGTTAAATTCATTTTCGTGGTGAATGCTTTGCTGTGTATCGAACTTTTAACTCAAATATTCCTCTATACTTGACAGATTGATGACTTGACCAAAAAGTTCATCAAGACAGCTGAAGATATGTGCAAGGCTAAGGAAAAGGAGATCCGAGGAGGCTAAATCCCTTTATGGTAACTACTTATTTCAAGTAGATTTAGATTATAGAATTTTGTTGGGGATTACTGCTCTGGGGCTTATTCGAGGTTACTAAAATCTATGTCACATGGCAAATATAGTTTGTTAGATCTACTTGAAATAAAGCTCTTGTAGGGAAAATCTGTTGGATCTTGTTAGTGTTGCCATGAATGCAATATTGGTCCATAAGTAGAGCAGTATTTGGTAATTCTTATCTGATTTTGTGCAATAACCTATAAACTGGTGCCAGTGTTTCACATTCCTTTTGGGGTTATGAGGAGACGGTTTAGCTACTAATCGTGCCTTTTTTTTTTCATGATGAATTTGTATGGGAACGTTTGTGTGAATTTCATAATACACTGACGATTGAACCTTCTTTTGTGAATATTGCGAACATTGAATCCTCTCGAAAAATCTCGTGTCAGCAGAACTCCCATTACAAGCTTTACTATAAACGAAATATAATCCACAATGGCGAACAGGACATTGCACCTTCCAACCAGGCTGCTCCTGGTAGCACACAGAAACCAAACCCCTCACAAAAACATGAACATATTTGTAAAGAACAGTGCTACTTAATCATTATCGAGTGTATAACAGAAGCCACACTTTAGACGGGCATCGATTAGCTTGGCCTCAACGTTTTATCTGAAGGGGTTAGTTAAGGTGTTCACGTCCTGGTTTCCTATAGAATCATTATTAGTTAACAACAATAACAGTTGAGTGAAAAACACATTATCTATTGCAACATGCATAATATTTTTTTTATAAGTTGGACCTCCTTCAGAGTAGTACGTGGAGAGCAATCAATCTTGTACATCTCAATTGGGATACACAGTGAACGGAAAATGGAAATCAATCTTGTCACATGACCGTTGTCTTCTACCGCAAATAAACTGCCACCCGTCACACACCCTCACAAGTCACAGCCTGTCAACCCTTCTCTCTCTCTCTCTCTCTCTCTCTCTCTCTCTCTCTCTCACACACACACACACACACACACACACACACACACACACACACACTAAACCGATACACACGCACACTAATCCCACACACGCTCGCACAGACACAGACGACCGCCAGTCGCCGCCTCCACTCTTCCACCGGCGACCTTCACCACCCTGCGGACAATCTGTACAACCGCTGCTGTCGGCGAAGACGAGGACCGTCGAAGAGTGGAAGTTCGACCACCGCCAAGAAATCCGTCACCAGCCATCGTCCACTGACCACCGCCAAGAAATCCTGCTCGACGAGTATCGTTGATTAATTTATGCTCACGCCCCCCACTAACCATTTTTCAGGTGTCGGTGTCAAGCGTGGAGGTGGAGCGTGAGCCGATGACGTGGTGGTGGTCGTACCGAGGATACTATTGAAGAAACATGTCATGTATATTTGAACATGTTTATGTTATTATGTTTTGTTGATGCATGCTTGCATTTGCTTCCACACTCAGTATGCAGTACTCAAAACAGTAGTTAGTCAGATTTCAGTTTGTGTATGCCTAAAATCTTAAGATATCCATGACGCGTTATTAGAGGAATGAATTATATCTCGATTGCACGCATAATAGTAAGTGAACAAAAATGAAAATTTAATAAATTGAGTAGTATCGCAGATTAAAGTTAAAGTATTTTAGAAAAAATTAATAAGAGTTTTCAAAAATTAAATCAGCGTTTTTCATTTATGGCGCAAAATTTTACTCGGATATTAGTAAGTTTAGGCGGGTGTTACACCATTTCTTTCATTTGGTGTCTGAACTCTCCAACAGTGGTGCATTAGCACACTTCCATAAAGCATTTTTGAAATCTAACCCTTTAAAACAAGAATTTTGGAAGTTAGAGTTCAAATGCCCCACACAAAACCTGTGAAAATTACAAGGTAAAACCTCATTAAATATCGGAATTAGACATTTTTGCTTATCTCATATAAATGTCTCATCTTCTTGTTCTTTAATTTCAAGATCATTCTTCAGCAAAATCCGAAACTAGTCTCAGTTCTCTCTGTTTTCTATGCTCACGATTCCATATGCAATAAGGTATAGATTGTTATTAGGGTTCACACCAACAACTGTTAACTATTGACTTTTATGTGGACCTTGAGAAAACAACCATCAACCCCTACAAACCTCCTGCAACCAGCTTTAAAACCCTGTTTTACTGCTGAGAAACAAACATAAAACTTACTAAACCTGTGTTCACTATTATCATTTTCCTCTGTACTTAAAACAACTGTGGAACTAAGATTAGACCTCAACAATTCCACCCTATAATCCCACAACTTATTGTACTGAAAATTAGAGGTACCCTAAATCAGATTTGAAGCCCTTTGTTTTGTTCTATATGCCTGATGTTAGAAACATTAACTTCAATGTCTTCACAACCTCTTTTCCCCATGATTTAACTTTTCTACCAAGACCAATCTTAAAGTTATAAATGTACTTCTCAGTAAACGAAGATGATTTAACATTTTTAACATAAAAACTAGGAGCACACGTGTGTTTAGCTTTCATTTCCTTGATTTTGTAAGAAGTTGGGTCCTTCAATTAAACCAGGTGAATTAGGACAAATTTATTCCATACAAACCACATAAACTATGTACTTACCATTTTTTTTAACTTCACTGTTATTTTGGTTTTGATTGCAAAATAAGTGACTACTTTCTTAAACACATGCCTACTACTAAACACCATGCCTATTTTAAATGAGGGATCAAATGCAAGATCTGAATTGAACAAAGAGAATTCATCATCAGACAAATTATCATCAATAACTCCACTACCATTAACAACACCAGCCTCATAACTTTGACTATCCCCATCACCAACAATCTCAAATTCATTATCTTTTTTCATGGTTTTCATCAACAACTCATTACTAAAGGTTTCAACAACATGTTCAGTATCATTTAGAGGAATCTCCTCAACACGTTCACCATCATTTGCAGAAATGTCGTCAATATTTTCACTAAAAATGATATCATCCTTCTCAGATTCACTAGCCACACAATAAGTACTATCTTTTATAGAATCTAAAACATCATTAATATGTTCCTCCATTGACATCCTATCATTCTAATGACATTTAGAAACAGACTGATGTTTTTCAAGAACTTGCACATAGACATGCATTTCTTTTCACTTTTTCCAAACATATATCCAAGCACAAAATCATAATCATCAACAACAAGCTTGAAAGCATCATCAGCCATAACGTAAAACCTTAGCTTACCATCACATATTTTCTCTTTTTCCCACTGAACAAAATTTGTCATGATCATATAACCTCTTTCAACATAGTAAAAGAACTTTCACAGAACCACCTGTGTATCTTGCCTTAGGGACATGCTCACACTGACTTTTAAGATGCATCACAAGAGTTATAGCATAACATTCCGAATCTACACTGACAAAAAATAATTATACTTTATTGAAAAATAAAGTATGCAAAAAAGGTATAGAAACAAAAAAAACTTTCTCAAAAATTCAAAAATTTAAGTCAAAAGCACCCAATGACCGATGTAACTTGTCCACTCGACCCTGCATGATTCAATGTTCAATACCAACGGAGAACTAACCGAAAAACATAAAAAATATTGTAAATGAAAATTTTAAAGGGACCATAAAAACATATATTTATATGCCTTGTGCATTATATATTGAATTTTCTCGGCAAATAAGACGGGTAACAAGTGAGACTTACGATATATGGGAGGGGCCAGGCCAACGTGAAGCGAATTTCTGAACATCACACATCTTCGATGTTGTATGGGTTGGATTCAACAAAACCACGACAACCTAGGGTTCATTTGACGGAGATTTACTTTGTGATTAGAGTTCTTACTTATATTTGAAACTCTGAGAAATTGGGAGCTTGGTTTCAAATTCTAAGAACGAAGATGTAATTTTGGGATTAGGTTAAATATTGGGGCTACACAATTTTGGTGCCTGATTTGGTGTTATTAAATATATTCAAAGAATATACATTGATTATATAAATTATTGGAAAAAATTGACATAGAAACATTTATGGAGTCCACATCAATTAATTAGCCAGAAATCAGCCTAGTCGACGCCGAAATTTGGCAACTCATCAAATTCTGTTCGAATTTCGGCAACCGGGATCGAAACTGGACTAGTTTGACTAAATTTTGGTAGTATTTGGATTACTTTTGAATTGACCTAAATTACTAGACTAAAATTAAAAATAACCTAAGTTATTGTACTAAAATTACAATTTTTTTTTTCACATTATCCCTTATTTATCCTATTAGTGGAGTAGGTTGCCCGTGTAATTTATGGTCAATTTGCACTCCCCATTTGGAGAAAAAAAAAAAAAAAATCACCAAACCTAGTAACTTAACATAAGTGATATTTTATTTTATTTTTTTGTTGAAATTAACAATGGTGGTAATTGGTAAATGGACATTACATTACACCATTACTATATTAAATAAATTTTCTTTCTGTGTCCATATTCCATAATTTTTTCTTTTTTCTATTCTTCAAAATCTGCCTGGGTTGAAACAAGATAAAAATATAAATTATTTATTATCTAATATAAAAATGTCAATTATTGAGAAAAGGAAAATGACACAAGGAGCTAGACCTATACACCGAGCATAGGATATAACTCCCCTAGCATGTGTAAAAAGGAAAAAACAAACAAATATAAATTAGAAAAAAAAA